TCTAAATGAGTTTTCAAGCCCCTTGGACCTGTGCATTGGGAGGTCCTTAGCATATTTTTGTAGGCTGGAAGAAACAATCAGAGAAGCAATTTATGGCTGGAACGTTTGATTTTTTGGGGGGAGACGCTTCAGCTCAGAATGCTCAACACTAGCCTTGGTTGGATTCAGTTTTCCAGCCTTAGATATGGTTGGAAAAAACCTCCACCTATTCTGCTTTATTGTGTTTAAATTTACATGTATGTGTTGACATCCTAATTGAAAACACAGCCGGAATAGGTTTATCATCTGTTTTTTTTCAGTGTTATAATATTTTGTTTACAGTATATGTTTCTTTTTCACTTGCATTCATTTTAAAGTTATTGTGTGAAAAGAAATTTTAACAATGTGATTCGTTCTGATTACTTGGGAGTTGTTGCAGTAAACACTCCAAATTTATAATATAATACAGAAACTTTATCTTGATGGAAGTGCTGCACATCATATAGTTCTTAAAGGATACATTGGGCATTGTAGTAATAGAGTACAGCAATACAAAAATTACAGGTATGCAATATGCCTGACTTCAATTATTGCTGTTCCTGAAGCAATATCTTACGTACACTGTATATTCTGTTTTCTGGGCTTGTCAGCAGTCTGTATAAACACTTTAATGTTGCATGAACGTAACATTTTTGTATTTGTTTCTCTCATTTTTGTGGTGCATGTGCTATAAATTTTGTATACTAAAAAAAAAATAAATTCCTTTTCCTGAGGAATTTAGAATCACAGTATGTTACAACGTTTGCTTATCAAAAAAACTGTAGAAGCAGGGATTGCAAGTGCCAAAATACTTGCAAACTTCAGCAGAGAGAGGTATGTTTGCAAGAGCCTGTCTTCAGTTCTTTTCACTGTTTCCTAAATTTAAATCTTTGAGCTGGAATTTTGCTTGTAGACTATCATCTTGAGGCAGTTTGCTTGCCTTACAGTGACAATCTTTTTGTGAAAGTGGATCAGTCTATTTGTAGAACATGTGTGTTTGGAATTTAACAGCCATTGCTCTGAATATCCTTCATTCTTATGTTGTTCTGTTGGAAAGTTTTGTGGCTCCCTGCCTTGGGTCAAGGAGCTGAAATTTATCACGACTTAGTCCTGGTGTGAAGGATGTATATTTTGTTAAAGAGCTGCCCAAATTTAGCTGATTCACAAATCTCGGGTTAAATGCATGCAGTAGATAATGCCAAGCATCTACATTCTGTACTGATTGTAGCCCAGGGATGTGGAGTTTTCCCCTGCAACCAATCATCCCTTACAGTGAGGTGCATAAAGATGCCATGATGCTCGTGCTGATGTCATTCCATGTGACAGAGTTCATTCAACTTGTTTGGTTTTGTTTGGTTTGAGTTTTTTTTGAAAACCCTACAAACCCTTCAATTTTCCCAGATAGTTGAGGATGAGGCTGTTAAATCAGGGTCTTGTATCCTCTACTGCTGAAGTTTCTGTCCTGCATGGCAGCAGGACAGGGTCTTCCTTTCAGAAGTTTTGTACTCTTCAGTGTTACTACAGTAGTAATTGCTAAGACCCATATTGAAAAAAAATATGTAAGATCTTGGTATTGCTGTGAGAAAAGTCAGTAACAACATCTTCCAGGGGTTGGTGGCGGGGGCTAGTTTTATTCAGTGTTTTCTGAAGGAGGGAGTGCTGAAGGTCTACTGAGTGTTGAAGGCACTGGATGAGATGAATGCAGAACTGTTATTCAGGAAACACCACAATGTGAGACCTATGGGGTACTCATTGAAACTAGCAGGATCACTGCAAAAAAGATAAAACTATTTTGCACTGTAATGAGCTTCTGCCAATTTTTTTTTTTTTTTTTTTTTTTTGCACAGAAGGCATCAGCAGGCTCAAAAGCAGATTAAGAAAATCCAGAAATCCGTAAATAGATACTAAAGGGAATGGACAGAGATATACTTTCTGATATTTCTGATGCAGTGATGGTGGGCACTGGAGATCACAAGGGGAAGGGACTGCAGAGCGGCCAGCCTCATAGCATCTCCTGCTGCCACTGTTGGTGATACAACACTGGGCTAGATAGATCGTGGTCGGTCTGGCCCCATAGGTATCACTTACTTTAATAAAATTTCAAGTTCAGTGCTCTTAAACCATATTTTGGCTTATGTAAACTGGCAAGATCCCTCTTTAAGAAATATTTCTCATGCTTCCAGTCATCTTAATATCTGATAATATCATCTGGTATAGTCATCAGATATCTTCCCGGTGATCAGTATGTATCGTTATTTTTCCAACAGCATACAAGAAATATCAAAATAGATATTTTGGCTGTATTTTGAAGACCCGTGTTTCAAGAAGTCTTCACTGTGAAAACCAATGATAACCCATCTTTCTCCGTGATCTGGATTCCAAATAGAGATCTCAAATGTAGATTTGCCATCAGTCCCCGTGAGACATGCAAAATCAGGGTATAAGCCATTGAATTCGTCACAGGCAGTTTCAGGATAGATGATGAAAGGAAACACAGCCTCTGTTAGAAGGAATGGGTCATTATCTTATTAATCCAGAGTAGGAATCTAAAAATACTGGTCTAAATGTAATTTGTATAACATTTCAGTTCCCTCCATTGTTCAGCCTTTTGCCGGAGAGAAAAGGAAGATAGCTTCCACTAGGCTAGTGTTAAAGACCCTTGGGGGAATGTCAGGTAGTACATTTTAATGCCACTGCTGCTGGATCTTGTAAATCTAGCTAATTAGAAGAGTAAATTTCCGTAGCTGACCTCATATTAGATCTTTGGAATAGGAAATAAATCACAGGTGAGTTAAAACTTAACTCGTGACATCTAACATATTAAAGAGATTTGTGCATAGTAACATTAATTCTATTGCTGGGTAGAATAACGTAACAATAACGTTGCTTTGCAAAAGCTTGTGTTGATACCAAGTCTCCCTAGATGTTCAGCTGTCAATATGAAACTTTTTGTGAAAGTAAAACAGAGGGAGTAGGAGCAACACACGTTTATCTGACGAATATCCATGTGATTTTCCCTTAGGCAATTCAGCTGAGTCGAGATGGACAGTATCTGCTTACGGGTGGAGACAATGGAGTTGTCATGGTGTGGCAGACGTGGGACCTCAAGCGGCTTTTTGCTTACCCAGGATGTGATGCTGGAATCCGATCCATGGCCCTGTCGTATGACCAAAGGTTAGAGCAAAGCCTGGTCTTCACAAGAATTTCAGAGAACGTATACTTACAATTAAATTACATTTTTGGTTTTCTTCCTTTTTTTTTTTTTTCTTCCTATTTTGATTTTCTGTGAATCACAGAGCCTGGTGATTATATTGAGAATTCTGTGCTTGCATAAGTTTCTTTCTAACATGACATATTTAGGGCAGATAATCTCTTTCAGGATTTCTACTCTTGGGAGATTCAAGAAATCTTACTCTGGCCAACTTTCAGCATAGGTTGAGTTATTGACCTGTGCCAATGTACAGTGTGTGTCACATGGAGGTGGAAGGTTACATGAGAGCTTTTCATGTTTCTTCTTTCACTTAGGATACAAATCACATTCCTAATTCCAGATCTTTATGTTAAAAACAGAACAGTTAGAATAGTTGCACAATAACATTCTCTCCACACATCCATATTTTGCTAAAGCATATAGTAATTTTAATTTCTAGAAAGCATTTTCATTTCTAAAGCATGACCCTCCTCGAAGATTCCTTCTACTGAAGGCAATCAGTGAATATTTTTACTGCATTTTTATGTTACGCTTTCCAATGCAGCTGTACTTAAAAGTCCTTCTGTGTTTTTATCACAAAAGTATTGTTTTGTTTATAAGATGGATGTTTACCATTTCATTTCTACACTTTTACTTTGTGGGCTAGAATTTTGTTTGCTTTGGTGTATTTGCTTAGTGGAGTTCCTGTGTATTTTTCAAGTAGATTTGGCTCCTAAATCCCTTAGGAATGTCTGCGTTGTGCTGATACCCTTAACCTTCCACTTACTGAAGTCCATACTGAACGTTGTAACGTTTTTACCGGGACTACATTTCTAAAACTTACATCAAATGAATTTTAAAAAATCCAAGCCAGTAAAATCTGTGGACTTCAAGCAAACATTTCAACTTCTTTTAAGCATAATTAGATATTATACGTGCTTTGGAAGAAACATTTTTCCATTAAAAAGCCCCTCCTGTTAAAAATACTTCAAAAGCTGGAGTTACAGCTGTTGAACTTTAGACCTCTGAAATTTATAAAATTTTGCATTTAGAGAATCTTTAAACTGTAATTAATGACACATTGACATAATCTTTGCATGTTGATAAACTGAAATTTAATATGGACATCTATAAGTTTATCCATGTTCTTAAGTTAGGAACCTGTTCACTTTGGGTTTGAAGACACAGAAACTCAGAAGAGATTTATTCAGAGTATTTCACTGAGTAATTACTCAGTAATTACAGGTAATTACTCAAGAGTAATTTATTTGGTATGCATGAATGTGTGTGTTTGAGTGACAGTGTGTAAAGAGACACTTTAACTTAATACAAAAACAATCAAAATGGTGCTCTTGAAATGAAGTAGTGTGATACCATCAAAATGTAATGTTTTGATGATTTCATATTGAGTCTTGTTTTTGAGGGAAAAATTGCAGCTTTTTACTCCGAATATTTTTTTTTAATTCTGAGCCTTTTTCCTAAAATGCCAGAATTTTATATGTCCTGGTACTTTTGATTTTCATAAAACTTTTAATATGAGTTTATAAAATCATATTAAAATCATATAAAATCATGTAGAAAAGACAATATAGAAACTCTTGTAATTGTCTGCTATGTCAGGGTCATGGCTTTTCAAACAGATCTAAGTGATCCCTAAGAGTAGGCCAAGGGTAAGGAATTTAGAAAGTGCCTCAGCGGGAAAGCACAATGATTACTTTCAGGAACTTCCAAAACAATCAAAGCCTTCAGATTGCTTTCAAACCCAAACACGAACATTTCCAACTAAGTCCTGTGCCTACATCCAGTTGGGATCATGTGTTTAAATGGGGGAGGCAAAGCTGAAACGAACACTTCTCCTAGCCTTCCTTCACTTTGCTGTCTCACCAGTGCTTCATCCCACTCCAATACCCCCCCCAAAACCAACCAAGCAAGCCAAGAAATAGTCCCAGGAAATCTGAAGTGGCCTTGCAGGACAGTCATGCTGGTAAACAATTCTGTGGTCTAACTCAGCTGGAGCTTCAGGCCAACATACGAACTGTTGCATGGTGTTCTGTATGTGTCGTGATCTAAAAATCTGTCAGAGACGGTGCAGATGGCAGTTTGATTCACATCCAGCCTGCTGGAGTCCTTGGATGCCCAAGATGGGAGCCCCAAAGCGTGACTTTTCTAGTATGCGGAGCACTTCCAGCTCCAGCTGTCTTCAGTCGTTGTCTCAGGTTCTTCTGCCCGTGTTGATGTCACTCTTCGGTATGTTCACTCATCTATTGGACGGGAGGTGGCTCACTAACGACTATGGTCTTGTGCTTTCCTTAGGTGCATAATGACTGGCATGGCATCTGGGAGCATAGTGGTTTTCTACAATGATTTCAATCGTTGGCACCACGAGTACCAAACCAGATACTGATCTTCACAGAGACCAAGATTAGCACTGGTGGGGGCAGGTGTTGTCAGAAGGAAACCGAACACAACACTCCTCTCTTGGTGTCTTGCCACAACGTTGTTCCTTATAAATATCTGTTATTACATCTGAATGTAACTTAAATTTGCTGAGAGAAGCGACCTATTTTTTAAAGTTAATTGCTATTTTTGTAGACCTTGCTTGACTTTTCTGGGGGAAGGGCAATGTAGCAGAAAAATGGCTGCTGGGTTCTGTAGTTAAAAATCTATATTTTTAGTCATAAGAAGAAGTCTATTTTGATCCCTGTACGTAAAAGCAACCTGAAGTAAAGATGGTTAAAATTCACATCCTAGCTAGATGATGAAGAAATGGATTTTCCATCTCTAGCTTTATCTATAACCCTGAGGAATACATGATTTTAACATAATGGAAATGAGTTATGACATTTGGGGAATTTTAATCTGTGCTATCTGTACCACACTCTGTCTCGTACTTTTCCTAATGATTGTACTACATCAGCACTGAAGTTTCTGGGAATCAGTGGTAATATTTAAATTATGATTAATGTAATTTTAAACTTTGCAAATTGTTTCCATCAATGTTACTATTCAGGCATGTTTCTAGCCCTAGAGAATTAGTTCTTTTTTAGTTGTATGTTTTGTGCAGTTAAGAGAGAAATCGGGAATGGAGTTTGTGTTACATCAAGTGTGAATCCTTCTAGTTTCTACCTGGCATCTCCTTCAAAGCACACCAAAACACGGATTGTTCCTCAAAACCAGAAAGGCTATCTGAAGACTTCAAACTCAAATTAGAAACCCACAGAGGCAGGTTTTCTTTAATAGGTGCAAGTACCAAAGCACACTTCTGCTGGCTGACTGTGAAAGCACTAACAAGGCAGGTGTTTGCTGGTGCACGGCCTCTACACAGCAGCAGAAGCTCTAGACTTGCAAGTGACTTTTTTTTTTTCCCTAGAACTAGCCCCTGCAATACTGTAGCACATGCCATGCTCCTTTTCTGCGTGTAGCAACAGTATCTTTTATATTTCCCTATCACCAAATCCAGTCAGGTCCTGCCCAGTCATATAAAATTACCTCTTTCTTTTAGGAAACAAAAAATAATTTATACTATGGAACAATAAGTTATTCTGGTGTTGCACAAATCTACTTTTCTACAAGGTTGCTGTGCAGAACTCTGTGAAAATATTTGTGAAAAGAACCGTTATCGTTTTGTAAGTCTGTATTGCATAAAAATCTTCTTTGTATGTTGTGATCTATATCAGTTGAAATTTACATTCCATATCTGTATGGATACATACGTTTCTCTAGCTGCCTACTGGAGCAGTTCCTGTTTTTCTAAGCATTTAGCTACTATCTCTTTCAGTAAAGATTTGGAATGAGAAAATTCAGTTTGAGTGAAGAAATCAAATAAAATTACATTTGTAATTGAGAGCTTCAGTGGAGTACTGGGTTCCTGTGGTTCAATGTATATTCTTCATAGAGGAAGTAGGTGCTCTGGGTAATGGTAATGCATTTAATGACTCTTGGTGTTTATGCAATGGTGACAAAATTTTCTGTGCCCTCTGCCTTTTCGTACGGAGGTGGTTATGGTGGTATCGGTAGAGTTTATGTTTTGAAGGATGATGTGATTAAGCGAAGGCTGTAGTTGTCATGTCTGCGTTAAGTTCACAGTGTATTGAGCAGTAACATTTGTTGTGCAAACCTTGTACTTCACACTTCCTTAAGTTCAGCAACATTCATACCCTTTTCTCAAAAGATTTTGAGGGGAAATTGGTATGCTCTTGAAGTGCAATTTGCAGTTGTCTCAAGCCAGAAATGGGTTTCCTAGGCTAGGCAGAGAGGAAAAAAAACAAAGATAGATGTATTTTGCCAAATGGCAATCCTGAAAGTCTTCTTTTTATGATCTCCTGCTGACTTAGGAAACACTTTATTATGAACAGAAGTAATAGTCTGTGATCTTAGAGTCAAAATATTTCATGGGGAGTTGATGTGGTAGATTGCTTGTTTTAAAAAGGGCCCTGTTGATGGTGAGATGGATGCTGTCCCAAACTGAAAGCGTGACTGTACTGCGCGTGCCATCCAGAGCTGAATCCAGCCGGCGCGTGCTGATGGAGTCCCGTACTCCTCGGGGAAGCAGCAGCAGCGGCGCATCGTGGTGTTTTCCATCATGAGGAACGCTGCAGCCCTTCTGTGCAAAAAGGACATCTTTAGTTTCTCCGGGAGCAAACTTGCGAAGACATCCACGTTCCGGACTGCTTGACTGGTGGCTTTGGTGAGTAGGACATACCCTTCCTTCCGCAGGTAAACACGCACACCTCCTGCACCGCCCTGGGTGGCCAGGCCTGTGCTTGGGATCTCAGCTATGGCTGAACTAGTCCACGCTGTGCTGTTTGTGATGAGGTGGCAAAAACAGGGTTAAATTTCCAACTCTTCAGGTATTCGTTACTCTATTAGGAGTAGCAGCTGTGTCAGGTGGATTGCCTGAACAGGATTTAATCAACAGGTGCCAGGCATTAGACTGCAGCTGGCTCTCACTAGCAGTTATTTGTGGAATATTCCTGAGAAGAGGGAGCTGAGTCCTTTATCTCCTCAAAATTCAGAGGGAGCGTTTATGAGCAGCCTTTTTTACGGACCAGTCTGGGCTTTCTTCTGTTCTGGTAAGTTCAAACGAACACGGTGTTAGCGCTGGTTTATGGCAGGTGCTCTGGAACGCAGCGTTGGCTGCTGCTGAGAGCAGGGCTGGTCAGCAGCAGTGCTGCAAGCGTGGTTGGTGGGGAAATACTTGGCACCTTAGTTTGAAATCCATTCTGTTCTGTGAAAATTGCTGATGTGAGTGCTGTAGGGTCTGGCAGGAGATGATGTGTGAACCACCATCCTAGTTAAATAAAACCAGAGATGGGCCGTTCTGTGGGTGCTGCTCTAAACCAATGAGACCTTTCCCACATAAAGGTTGGAATATTTGTGTAAAGCTTGAGACGAGTCTCGTCTTGGATTTCCCATCTGATACAACATTACATGAAATCCAAAATAGTTTGCTTTTATGCAGAACTACTGTAAGATCTTCAGTAAACTAATACACTTAATGATGCATGTCTGTGCTTATGTGTCATAATTTAAAGCTGCTCTTTAAAAGCTCTGGATTAAAAACCCTAGGAAATGGTTTCTAATTTTGTTTAGATTTACTGAAATTCAACTACATTTAACCTAAAGTCCTGCAATTCAAATACAGCCAGTGTCATGAGGAAAAAAATTGATTAAAACATATGAAACGAAGTTTGAAAGAGTAAGTTCTAACTTGTATCTGCAAATAGTTTTAGTTCAGACTTGCCTATAAAGAAGCATATTATTATAAAGAATATGTAAAATATTTCATAACTTTTTCTAAATTATGGGAAACACAACTACTTACTTGTAAATGAATTGAGATAATAGCAGAAAGCGCAGTCTTGAAACCGAAGAGATTTTCATATTTAGTAAAATCTGCAATTACATACAGCTTCATACTTGGGACTGCATCATATAGTTAGCTAAAGGTATTTAGATGTGTGCTTAGGAAATTATGCTGTATTGCATGGAAATAGAGGCCAAAAGAGGTTTTCAAAATGTGGTACTTGCTATTTGCTAAATGGACCAAGTTTGAGATACGATCATTTACTATCTTCTTCAAGTTCTTCTGTTGTTTTTTTTTTCCTTCCCCCTGTTGCTTTGTTCCCTGTGTACTGTGAGCTCTGAGCTGCAAAATGTTGTAGCAAACTGAGTCCGGTTGTGTGTTCAGAATTTGGTGTGTTCAGCGGTAGAGATACCCAACAACAGACAGACGACTCTGCAGATTGCTCTTGTGTTTTGCTTTTTGTCCTGTTCATCCTGCGTGCTGGGCATCCTTTTTCAAGCAAGCCCTGGGAGCTGCAAACCAAACTGTGATCATTCTGTACAACAGAGCTAGGGTCTTTTAAGCAAAGCATTTAAACTTTCAGCGTTTCAACACTCTAAACTTCAGTATTTCATATTAATTGCCAAATATTATTTTGGGAAGGGAATAGTTGCTGGTACTTCTTGGTGAAGCTGTGCTTCTCTGAAACCTGCATCTTACATGATTCTCACTCTGGGCTTTCTATTTCCAAATATGGCAAAGGCACTTACTTAAAATTCAAATGCCGTTTGAAAAAAAAAAAAAAAATCAAGAGCAGAAGCATGGCAGCTTGCTTCCTTAGTCCCTGCCCTGGTAATTTTTTTACAATGCTAATTTAGTTTAAAACAAAAATCCCCCTAGAAAGGATTCCCCTGACAGAAAAGCTTGATTAGATACCTATTTGTATGCAGGAGACGTTGAAACTGATTGCAGTAGGAGGGTTTGAAATGCTTGCCGTCTTTTAATCTTAAAAAAAAAAAAAAAAAAAAAATCAGTTTTACTTACTTAACCAGGATTTTGGCTGGGTTACTAGTTTTGTGCATTTCTGTTGCTTTCCAATTGCTGTTTTAATGTAGCTTGAAAGAAACAATAAGTAAATGTGAAATATCATCTCCTATTTTAAAACTGTTAAAGATAATAAATATGTATATTTATATAAAAGTGAGTAAATACTTCAGTACATTTACTCTATCGTGTAATAATTAGACCAGTGAGTACTGAGGGGAAGATATGAAAACCAGGCTTAAATGAGATTTTTAAAGTAAGGATTTCATGCTTGCTGCATAAATTTATCAGTGTAGCCTGAGATGATCAAAATCATTTCCGTGAACAGGAATTTGAACCCCCTTTTGGTGAGCGTACAGGCACCAGTATAACAAGTTAGTGCTTCCTAGCTGATATATTTCAAGTAGATTAGGAAAATGAGAGTCTTCTCAGAAGGGCCAAAGCTGCAATCCATTTTGGAAGTCACAGACAGGACCTTGCTCCTGATCTCCTTGATGTGCGCTGAGGTGCTGGAGCGTCTCCCATATCACGAAGGCCCTCCAAGAGGTGACACGAAGTGTCTGGCACCCGCTGAA